GAGGGGACTTTTGGAGAGAAGTTCTTTGTAAAGCCTCTGCAGATTCATGAAGCGTTGCTTCATTTGTTTCTTTTAGAGGAGGAGAAGTACTCTGATCTTCTTGCTGCTCAGAAGCCCCAGCCAGAACCTCCATATTGGAGGAACCTTTGTTCTGTACAAGGTTGCTGGAGTCTCCTTGAGGAGAGGAGTTGATCGGAGCAGCAACTTTTGATGGTGAGGTCGAAGTGGTAAAAGCTGGATTTAAAATATCCTGCAAGAAGCAAAAGAATATTAAAAGCATCCACCAAGGTAATGAATAATTATTTCTTTGTCAAAGTTCAATTTACCTGTGGACTCTCAGAAGAGAGGTTGCTAGCTATGCGTTCCAACATTACGTTGGAGGTCGAAGATGGAATTTTGGATTTAGGTGAGGGAGCAGCATCCCTGGAATCGAGTCCAGAGACACTAGTTGGTACAACACTTTTTGAAATATCCTTCTTCTGCTTCTTCTTCGAAGCAGCTGGTAAGTTTCCTCCAGCCTTGGGGTCTTCCCCAGTGGTGTTTGATTTTTGCTTCTTTGGAGTGGTAGGCGGAAGTTTGTTGGTCTGAAAAGATTTAAACAAAGAGTTAGATGCAAGTCATGAAGCATTAGTGTATTCGAAACATCAAGGCTAAATGATTACCTGTGGAGTTGGAACACTGGTTATTATTGGTGTTGTTGTTGTTGTTGTTGCAGCAATTGTTGTTGGTTCGGATGGAGTCACATGGTCAATGGTTTCGATAGAGGCTTGAGAGGCGCTCCCTTCTTTTGACTTTGAAGCAGCAGTCTTTATCCTGATGGCTGAAAATCGAAACAATTAAGGCAAAAGTTAAAGATATGGAAAATGAAAAACGTTTGGGATTTTCCCAAGCATTCGCACCTGTGCCTTGATCAGATTTAATCGACATGGCATAAAGGTCATAGCGAAGATGTCCTGGGAAATCGTGGAGCCAGTGTCGAGCCCATGTCACAGTCTCAGATGGCTTTGGTTTCTTTTGAAGATATTTGAACATTTCTTTGCAAGTGAACCACCAAGGGTATGGAGGAAACCAAGCCAGAGCCAGTTCTGAGGTAGGTAATCTAGGAAATTTAGGTGGATGCATTTCGAATGCCAACCTATACCTATCCTCAGGTGACAACCCTGAAGGAAGTTTTAACTTAGAAATTCTTTCTTTGAATTTTTCCTTCAGGGTCTCAGCCGCTTGATGCACAGTGGATTCCAAGTGTGTGGGATCATAAGTAGTTTCGAAATAATTTTGAAAAGCTTTAATCTCTTTGGCATGAGTGAACATACCTTTCTTGCATGGTACCTGCACATCGAATGCATCAGTTAGTTTCTGCTGAATAGTAAGAGTATCGAACATATAAGTCTGATAGAACTTTGTCCACCATTCCAGAAACCCCTTTGCTGTAAGGTGTGTAGGTTCGAAAGTTATTAGTTCAAACTGGGCGAAGCCTTGGTATTGTTCCTGCTGTAGTTTGGCTTCTCGTGCCTTGAAGGTTCGCCCAGAGGTGATGGCACTTTCCGTTTGAAATAGGGGTTCAGGAATTAGTTGGCACAAGCCAAACTGTCTTGAAACAAAGTTGGGCTGATAAGCGAAAAGGAAAATCTAATTCTTGGCAGGAGTTATTCTTGAAGAGATTAGTCTGGGTAGCAAAAAGGCTCTCCATACATCTTGAATCTCTTTGCTCTTGACAGCTTCTGAGAGAGCCATGGTGAACCATGAAGGTCCATGAGCCCTTGAAGCAAAAGGCGCCATGGTCTCTTCGAACTTATGCCTCTTGGAGAATATCATGATGTATTTTGAGAATAGGACTTTGAAGTCATCCTTATCATCATTTGGGGTTAGTCTTCGCAGCCTAGTGCCTTCGATTATTCTATCCGTTATTTCAGGGTCTTGTTCAACAATGGTGTTGGCAGTTGATAATGAAGGTTCGAACATGGCATTTAGCCATAACTGAAGCAACCAGAAAGGGCCAGCTAGCAGGATATTCTTGGGGGTGTGAGATTTTAGACTCGAAACAGCTGACCTCAGGCTTTCATAGAGATCAACTAGTAGCAATTCGCTTAAGCACACCCTCCGATTCTCATGCAAATCTCTATCTAGAGGAATAAACCTACTGGCTACCTGTAGGGATCTGCTGCAAAAGACATACCTTGACAGCCATAAGGTAAGGAAAGCAATGTGTTCTACATCCGACACACTGTCTCCTTCAGTATGATAGTGGCTGATGAACTTTGAAAAGCTTGCTAGTTTGACTTCGAAGTCGATAATACTCGAATGCTCTTCGTTGTCAGGGATATATGTTTCTCCTATTGGTGATAGCCCAGTAATGGCCGCTATGTCAAAAAAGGTAGGGGTAATCATTCCACCAGGGAGATGGAAAGTATTATAAGTACTGTCCCAGAAATATAGGGACGCGAATAACAATGGGTGGCTATAAGTAAAACCTAGCTTCGACAGCTTAATCAAGTTGTAGATACCTAATTCTTCCCATTGTTGGGATTTCTTAGCTTCTACCTTATTGAACCAGTTATGATAAGCAGTGTCGGAGGTGGGGCAAGATCGAAACAGTTTGAAGTTACTCTTTACATAGTCTAATACAAAAGGGTCCTTAGGAGGAACAATTGGATTTTCCACGGTGTTTGAACCAGAAGACTCTATTGCCTTAGGGGCGTCCATTTTATTAAACAGGGGTTTGAAATTATAGCAAACTGGGAAAATTTTTCTGGTGTCTTTTAAAATTTCAAAAACTGTAAGAGGGCCCATTAAAGCTAACCTCTTGCCAGCAACGGTAGTAGGAATAAGTACCTGGGATGCATAAAGCATTTCTTTCTCTTTTGAGATCATCTGGGGAACAAGAACAGATTGACCTTGGTAGGTGACAACCTTGCTTTCCATTGTGTTTCCTGCGGTCTTTCCTTTCTTTTTGGAAACCTTTTTTAGTTGGGATGAAGTAGAAGAAGACATTGTTGGAAGAATGTTGAAAGCTTAGGGTTTCGGTGAGAAAAGAAGGAGAAAAGATTCAGAATGTGGGAAGAAAAGAAAAGACTAAGTTGATGAGTTTTTATAATGTGGAAGTTTAAGCATCCACTGAGTAAGGTTGTGATACGTGGTAATCGTGGGTTGGTTTGATGAAGAGGTGGCGTAAAGTTAACATTGGTAATAGGCGTGATTAAAGACAATCATTGTTTTGTAACTGCACCATACTGTGAAGTGGTTCAAGGCGGTTAAGGAATCTGAAAAGCGTTATGATTGACGTGACTGAAGTCATATGCAATAAATGTTACGATGATTCGAAGGTCGCATCAAAATCTTGTGTATATGTTTAAAATAAGTATTTCTCAAAGGAATCGAAATACATATTTTAAAGGGGCATTTTGTTGGCTGAAGATTTTGATGATATTATGAAGCAAAGTAAATTGGACGTTTCGATTGAAATGAAATAAAACGTCATGTTTCGGAATGGTAGAAGCAGTGCTTCGAACGAGCATATCAAAGCTTGGAGCTTCGAGTGACAGTTATGAGAATATATCCAAAGAAGTCTCGAAATGATAACAAGGTTGTATCTAAGGAATGCGTTCGAAGCGAAGAAGTGTCAAAACATTTGAAATTCAAATGCAAGCGGGATGTTCGAAATTTGAAATATATGTGCTGGAGCATTCGAAGACGCGTGGAAGCAAGAGAGAGGCATTGCTCTGCATGTTCTGAACGTGGAAGAATCTTATAGCAAGACCGTTATGGTCGAAGTAGTATAAATAGAAGTCTTAGCATTAGGATTTCGTGTGTCATATCTATTGTACAAAAAACTCAGTAAACATTCAAATTACCACATGGCTAGGGAAACGAATGCAAGAGCAATGTACGTATGATAACACCACACGTTTATGATTTAATGAAAACTCTTTATCATTTCCAGTACTTTCCTTTATCTTTATGTCAATACCATTTACAAGTTTTTGCATTTAAAGTACTTTCATTCGAAATCTTTTCACTGATGCCTTACATTTAAATGCTTTCTTTCCATTTCAAATACTTTACATTTCATAAACTGTTATACATTTCATGCCTTTATCTTCAAGTTTTTATCCTTCGAACACCTTTTTCACTTAAAGCCATTTTACAGTTTTCTTGCATTAAACGCTTTCTTCATATTTCGAATCTTTTACATTAACCATTTTTATAATTCGAAGTCATTTATTTGTCTTTTATGCAGTTTTTACATGTCTTTACAATTGACTTTTATTTATGCAATTTAGTTTCGCGCACATTTATTTGATCACACCTTTAGATCTTTAAGAGAGAAATCGAAATAAGTTAAACACCTACACAACATTCTAAATACCAACCATGAATACCAGTTCGATCATGAGAGTTACCCTAATGACCAACACGTCCTAGGATCAATCTAGTCGATCCTGCGAGTTACCAGAGAAATTGAATAACAGTCAGTAAGTTTATTCGATAGTTTGGAGGACTAGCGGTTGTTTACCAGAAATCACTGTAAACACCTATGTTATGATATAAATTGAATTTTAAATTTGTGAAATTGATATTAATCGAGACTATTTTTCTATTGTCTATGTAGCATAATATCGGAAATGTAAGTCTATATACATATCAGAAATTAAATTCCGATTTTAGTCGATATTTTATCAAATCATAATGGTTTCGAAAATATATTTTTAATTTTAAAAGGCATGGTAAAGAAAACGGAATTTTTTTTATTTGATATCATCGAGAGGCACTCATACCGAAAAGATTGAATCTTGATTGAACATATTAATTAGTTTCCAATAGTTTTATTTAAACAATCCCTAGACTTGAAGTTGCATTCATAATGATTGAATCTAATTTATTCCCCAAAGTACACATAACATAACCAACTAACCGAAAAACGGTGTCTATGTCCAAAGTAACCACATTACATTCACATCTAAGAACAAGAAGAAGCCATCAGTGACGCTCTGTATTCTCTAATGGCCTCCGATCTCACCAACCTCACCATCCCTCCTCGTCCTCCTTCTTTCCTTCCCCCAATTGATCCCTCCCCACAAGTCATCCACAGTAGGTCCCACTCCTTCGTCGGTCCCTCCCCTCGCCTCCCCCCTCCCTCCGACGACGACAACAACCTCTTCTTCCTCGACGAACTCGCTTCCGACTCCGACTCCGACTCCGATTCCGACGACCTAATCCAACAACCCTTCCAACACAAATTCGGACCCTCCGATTTCCAAATTCTCAAAGTCATAGGACAAGGTGCCTTTGGCAAGGTCTTCATGGTCAGAAGAAAAGGAGATTCAGATTCTTCTGACAATAACGGAATCTTCGCAATGAAGGTTATGAGGAAAGACAACATCATTAAGAAAAATCACGTTGATTATATGAAAGCAGAGAGAGATATTCTCACTAAAGTTCTTCATCCTTTCATCGTTCCTCTTCGCTACTCTTTCCAAGTCTCTTTCATTCTCTTTATAATTACTCTCTATTTTATTCACGTCATTATTAACTTACTAGCCCTTTCTTTATGTAATTTGCAGACAAAGTCTAAATTATATTTGATTTTGGACTTTATTAATGGAGGACATCTCTTCTTTCAATTATGTCGACAAGCCATTTTTAGGTATTCATGAAGCCCAGCCGTCTCAAGTCTCTGTTGATTAAATATACTTTAAATTTGACAAATCAAAATAGGGGTCCTATTTTGTCCTGATTTATCTGTCACACATATATTATGAACCTTTTTAGACACAATTTAAACGTGTCAAATTTTGGTTCATTTGAGGTAGTCTGCCTTGCACGCTGTCCTGTACTCTGGAATTTTGATGTGTGGATTTGGTTTTGTTATTGTTTGTGTTTGTGTGTTGGGCAGTGAGGATGAGGCAAGGATTTACACTGCTGAGATTGTATCGGCTGTTTCACATCTTCACAGCAAAGGAATTGTGCATCGGGATCTTAAACCTGAAAACATACTCATGGATTCTCATGGCCATGTAAACAATTCTTTGATTTATGTTAATTCTGCATCTGCCGATGTGTTGTTGTTATGTTCGTAGATTCTTATTGACTTAGTGTTGGCAAGCAACTCAGTAATTTTCATTGTGACTCATGTATGTTATGTTTGTTTGTTAAATTTGTAGGTGATGTTAACTGATTTTGGAATGTCGAAAGAGATTGATGAATCTGAGAGATCTAACTCTATGTGTGGGACTACAGAGTATATGGCTCCGGAAATTCTTTTAGGTAAAGGCCATAACAAAGATGCGGATTGGTGGAGTGTTGGTGTTCTCTTGTATGAAATGATTACCGGGAAGGTAATGAATGAATGCAAATCACGAATATCGTTTCTTGAATTGTTTAGCACGACTTGTGTGTCAGTTGTGTGCGTGTATATGTATGTGAATGAGTTATCCTTATTGAACACCTTGAATTGTATGTGGGAATACATTGATAAAATGAAATGCAGTTAGAATCTATCATGTGTTTGATAATCGAGTCTTGAACAGAGAAAGTTAGGTGTCTTTTCCTAGACATAGTTGATTTTGCAATAGGGAAAAGGTAGTTAATTTTATGGTAATGGGAAGTTTGGATATGAACCTTATTGATAATCAATCTTTTTATTTCTCTATTGGGAAGCTTTGTGTTTGTGTAAGTGCACCAGGTGGATCTCTGATATACAAAGGGGATTTGCTATTTGCTAAAGGTGTACAAGCTTATTCTTTTGCCTGATTTTTAGTGACATTTGGCAGGCACCATTTATACATAATAACAGAAAGAAGCTACAGGAGAAAATTATCAAAGAGAAAATCAAACTTCCACCCTACCTTACCGGTGAAGCTCATTCTTTGCTCAAAGGAGTAAGTGGTCCGTAGTATTCCTGGTTTGCTTTCATTGCACTATCTCGTTAAAGTATACGTTACAAGCTTAATGTGTTTGTTTCCTACCAGTGCTCTTCTTTACTCCTAAAAGGGACCTTATATATGTTCTATTTGGATAGTTTAACTCATTTGAGACTTCAAATTGATTTCTGTTTACTTGCCTACAGTTGCTGCAAAAGGATCCGTCTACAAGGTTAGGCAGCGGGCCAAATGGAGATGAACAGATCAAAAATCATAAGTGGTTCAGGACAATCAATTGGAACAAATTGGAGGCAAGAGAGCTGCAACCAAAGTTTAAACCATCTGATGTGTCTGGAAAAGATTGCACGGCTAATTTTGATCGATGCTGGACGACGATGCCTCTTGAGGACTCTCCGGCATCAACTCCTACAGCAGGTGACCATTTTCAGGGCTATACTTATGTTGCACCAAATCCTTGGCTTTCTTCTAGATAAAGCCGAAAGCATTCAAATCCAAAGGAAAATGTGTATATGGGTTGATAAAAAGAGTAACCTGAAGAAGGCAAGTCGTACTGACTTTAAATTCTTTTTCTTGGTAAGTAACACAACACAAATCTTTTCTCACTAAGATGTTACCCTCTCTATTTTACAAGTTGTTTCTAATCTGTATGAGCATTGTAATGGTTTATCTCACGCTTTCATATTTGTGAAGGTTGGTTTAGTTCTTGTTTGAACTAATACTATGTAAAAATCTTTGTTCATATCAGCATTAACATATTTGACTAGCTATTGCTTGGTAGGGTTGTATATCCGACTTCTTGTTAGTCAAAAGCATTCAAATTGCTGCTTTTTGACAGCTAAAACTTACTTCTTGTGTATTTTAGCTATGAGCTATTGAAATCTATAATGGCACTAATGTCTTCGGTTTTGTTTACCTGCCTCTAAATCTCAGCAGTTTTTTTTTTTTTTCATTCAGTAGAAATTGAACTATATGAGGCCATACGAACAATATGAAATAGCAGCTATAACGACACTATCGCACCGAAATCTACAAGAATTTGAACAAATTGTTTTTCTCTTTGCATTTCGAAAACCCTGGTTTATTTTTTGACAAGGACTTTATATAAAATTGTTATACATAATACATAAAATGCCAAATCCTTGTAACACCTAGCATTGGGTAAATTCTTTGATATATCTTTCCCAATTTCTAGCCATATATGATTTACATCCGAAATGTTTTGCATTACTAATTCTAGAGTTGTCAAAATGGGTTAGCTCATAAGAACCGGTCCGCCTGGTCCAAAAAATCATATATTTTTAATGACTTGTTTAGCCCAGCTTTAAAAAGTCTGTTATCTATTAGAGGTAGTCCGCATGAGTCGTGGGTAGTCCATTAGGTCCACATAACTATAGACTTTAAAAAAATTATATTAATTTTTGTATTGAGTTACTCTAAAATAATACATTGATTTTTCTCACTTCACTAAATTTCGTCTATATTTTATTCAATCTTTCTTTCTTTAATGTAATCAACATTCTTCTCTCGTATTGTATTAATTTCTCTTATGTTAAATATTTGATTATTATTTTCTACAATTTAGACATGTATTGTATTTAAAAATATATTATAGTATTTATAAAAGATAATATAGTAATTAAAAATATATTATGTTTAAAATAATATGATTTTTTATTTTATTTATAATAAATATTATGGATTTTTTATTTTATTTTTTATTAAAAAAAGTTTGTCTAGGTCCGGGTAGTTTGAAGCCCATATGGGGTCAGGCTAGTGATCGTACCTGACCAAAATGAGTCGTCGATGGCCCACAAGCTTAAACTGAACGACGTTGAAAGTGAAATGGGGTACCTGCAAGACACTCTAATGTCAAAGTAAGGTTTAGAGCAAATGCAAGTAGAGAGTGAGAGAGTGAATGGATAATATACCTGACTCTTTAGTGAAAGAGGATATTTATAGCCCTAGTGTTGGGCCAAGGTACCCATTTGGGTCAGATACCCAGACTCAAAATGGAGACTGTCAGGATCCTACGATGGTAGAGGAGATCAGTTCATGATCTTTATCCTAGTTCAACTGCTTTGTGATTCTCGGAGGATGAAGATCTATTTTTCGGGAGCAGGATGGCTTTGTGATAGTCGAAGGAACGTTGGCTACATACCGTTAGCGAGCGTGCACATGCTGAGGAGCAGTCCCCGACGAGCATTTTTAGGAGAGGTTCTCGTCGTGCACGCGCTGAGGGGCATGTCTTTGAAGGGCATACGACATAGAAGGTTGCGTCTTGAGGTGACATTTCGTCTTTCGTGCAGGGTTTATAAATAGGGGTTTAAGGATTCATTTGTTACTTTCACAATCCTTGCTCTCCTTCCTGCTTCTCTTTCTTCGATTCACATCTAGACGTCGTAGTTGTCGTCGTACTCTCCAGAATGAACCCTCGGTCAAGTAATTTCCTTCCCTTTACCCATGATCAATTTAATCTTCGCAGCATGCATGTTCTTATACGAATTTCGCGTTCTAGGTAGGTACTCCCCGCGACATTTATAGATTTTACTGTTTTTCCCCGTGGGATTCATAAATTCCCCACGAAATTTATGTTTTCGCCCGTGATATTCATGTTTCTCTTTGGGAGATTCATGCGTTCCTCGCACCCGCGATGTTTCTCCTTTGGAGATTCATGTGCTCCCCGGAGGAAACATGAATCCCTCGTGTGATTTATAAGTCGGGGAAGATTTTCCCGCGCGTGAAGTCCTTGCTTTCGCTTGTCAAATCAATTTTGATCACGACCTTGTTCCAGTGGTAGTTTTTATTTCCTTTGAGCAAGGGCTTGGTCAGGGATTGTACCTCGTCCCATGGTGCGCCCTTTCACTTGGTTTGTGGTGGAAGGATGAATTTGATTTGATCACGGAATTCACGTTATTCCTCTACTTTTCAGGTGAGATGGTCGATCCTGTCACGGACGTTCACATGGCCGAACATGTTGAGGAGGACCAAACAGCTAAACATGTGGAAGATGTTCGGATAGTCAATTCGATCACTGATCCCCAATTGACATGGGCTGCTCCTGAGCCTCGTGGCATCGCCTCTCGCTATTCTGCGTCTTTGGATGATGTGTTTGTCACCATCGAGGACATTCCCAATGATCTCGTCACTGAGAGACATTGTAAAGTCGTTAAACCTGCTGTGAGCAAAAGGATATGCTTGTTCTACAAGAAAAACTGAATCCCCATGTATGAGTTCTTCTTCAAAGAATTGGGGTTACGGAAGCCCTTCAGTGACTTCCAGATCGCGGTCTTCATGAACTTATCATTGGCGCCCTGTCAATTGCACCCGAATACAGTGGCCTTTGTTATGGCATTTGAAATAGTGTGTCAATACCTTCAGGTCTGCGCCACGATTCCCCATTTCTTTTGATGCTTCCGACTTCAGCGACAAACCGTGAGGGAAAACATGGTTGGGTTTCTTTGAAGCAGTCGAAGAAGAAACTCTTCAAGATGTTCCTAGAATCTATTCGCGGCTTTAAAGATATGTACTTCCTCGTCAGGCTTGCGTCCGAAGAAGCCTTCGACTTTGCGTTGGAGGAGGCGATTGTGGTCGACGAAAATGGCAACATGCTCTACGAGGAAGATGGTACCGGGGAGACGGAGTTAGTTTCCAAGTTCCCCTTCCACTGTGCGGAGACTCACTTCAACCACCTCCCAAATTATTAACTCACAGCGGAGGCTCCCATGGATGAAGAGGAAGAGGAGGGCTTGTGTGCCCCTAATTTTTGTAATATCCAGACAACTCCAGCCTTCGTGGCCGGCCTTTTGAATGTCTTTGGTTTGAATGTTTATTCTGTGTTTAAATATTATTTGTTATTGTTCATGTTTCCCATGTCTATAAGTGTGGAAATTCGTGCTCGACCTAATTTATGATCGACAACGTATGGAGACGTGTTGAGATAATGGATTTGGGCTCCATTTGAATGAGAACGAGGTCGCGATTGGGGCCTTAATCTCGTGGAGTGAACTGCCCCATCGCGAGCTGGGTGTTCTTCCTATTTGGTACTTCGACGGCGGAGCTCGGTTGAGGTGTCTTTGTCGGGCTTTGGTTTTGCTCATTTAATAAGTGAGAACCCGCCTTTTGTTCTTGATTGTTGGACGTAATGTTCGTACCTCAACATGCCTTCGTGGTCGAGCTTTCCCTGTTGTTTATCGGGGGGTCAGGTCGACTGCTAGGCCCCAGCTTTTACTTGGGATTTAGTTGTAATATTGTTTTAGCTTGTCAATGTTCCATGGTTGAGGTAGTTGTTTCCCACTTAGGTGTTCGAGATAGTATGCCATGTTGCCCGTCATTTCATGGACATGATAGGGGCCTTCCCAGTTGGCGGTTAGCTTTCCTTCAAGGGAACCTTTCTCATTTCTTTGTAGGACTAGACTGTCGACTTGGAATTCATGTTTTATGACTTTGGCGTCATGTCGCAGAGTTATCTACTTCTTTAGTGTTGCCTCGTGAAGAGATGCCCGGATCAGATCTCTTCTACCAGGTCGAGTTCTTCTCTCAAGGCTTCATCGTTTAGCTCTTCATCGAGAGGGAACTCAGTTCGCCTAGATGGTTCCTTGATTTCTACCGGGATGACCTCCTCGGTGCCATGTGTTAGTCAGAAAGGTGTCTCCCCAATTGTCGAGTGGGGTGTCATTCTGTAAGCCTAGAGCATGTTGTGTAGCTCTTCGACTCACCCCTTTTTAGCCTCACCCAGCCCACGCTTAAGTCCTCGCAGGAAGACTCTGTTCGCGGCTTCTGCTTTCCCATTTTGACAAGGACTTTATATAAAATTGTTACACATAATACATAAAATGCCAAATTCTTGTAACACCTAGCATTGGTTATTGATGAAGCAATGGGTAAATTCTTTGATATATCTTTCCCAATTTCTAGCCATATATGATTTACATCAGAAATGTTTTGCATTACTTAATTCTAGAGCTGTCAAAATGGGCTAGCTCATAAGAACCGGTTCGTCCGGTCCAAAAAGTCATATATTTTTAAGGGATTTTTTAGTCTAACTTTAAAAAGTCTGCTATCCATTAAGGGTAGCCCACATGGGTCGTGGGTAGCCCATTAGGTCCACATAACTATAAATTTTAAAAAATTATATTAATTCTTGTATTGAGTTACTCTAAAATTATACATTGATTTTTCTCACATCACAAAATTTTGTCTCTATTCTATTCAATCTTTCTCTTTTTAATATAATACATTAATATAATCAACATTCTTCTCTCGTATTGTATTAATTTCTCTTATGTTAAATATTTGATTATTATTTTCTATAATTTAGACATGTATTATATTTAAAAACACATTATAGTATTTATAAAAGATAATATAGTAATTAAAAATGTATTATGTTTAAAATAATATAATTTTTTTATTTTATATATAATAAATATTATGGAATTTTTATTTTATTTTTTATTAAAAAAAGTCTGTCTAG